ATATATATATTTTTTTTTAATTATAAAAAAAAAAAAAAATCAATGGAAAAAATATCCTCTGGTGATGATTAACAAAACAAAACAAAAAAAGAGTAGTTATGTTTAAATTTTCAGTTCTCCTAGAATTTGCAGCACTGCACGGTAAGGCAGTCTACTTAAATTACTTCCCCCACCCTTATAACCATTTCTCCTAATGGTATTTACTGGATGTCTTTTTCCTTTCTTGGCTCTTTTTCTTGAGTTGCTTCGCTGTATCCAAAGATTACAGGCAGACCTCGTTATATTGTGCTTCAATTGTTTTGTGCTTCACAGATGTTGCGTTTTTTTACAAATTTAAGGCAAGACCATCAACCAGCAAAAAGATTACAACTTGCTTTGTGATACTCGCCTTATTGCAGGCCTGTAACTGAACCAGCAGTATCTCCGAGGTATGCCTGTTTATCAATCGAGATCCAATAGCCTCCTTTCAACCCTCAACCTACTGCACCTCTCTGGAGCATCTGACAACAAAGGCAGGAAACACAAGATCAAAAGGAGTCAGTCAATCAGCTCCAGAATTTGATATTGATGTAAGTTTGAAGGCATTCAACTTTCTTAACATTTTCTCTCCCTGAAATAAAGGGATAGGGAAAGTGTTCCTCAGGGTAACGTAAATCTTCACAAGGTATTACAATGGCACTTCATAAACTGTAAAATAGCATTTCCCAAATTGTCTTACTCAGAAAATTAGTCCTGTAAGAGACTCAAAGGGTTTGGAAGTTAAATAAGTTTGGGAAATGCTGCATACAATATATTCAAGTTTTACAGATTCATTATGCCCACTAGGACACTAAAGAAAGAAAATATTAAACTTTAGTTACCCCCAAATTTCTCCAACATTTTAAACTACAGACAACAGCTCCCTCTTTTTCTTGAGTCACATCTATTATTTAGCCTGCAGAGCTGCCTTTCCATGAGACAAGACTGCTAGGATGAACGGCAAAAACATCTAGATGTCTTTTTTAAGTAATAATCAAAGGATCTGGGGGCCTCTCTAGATCTTACTCTTAGTTCCCATGGAAGCTGGCACAGTTTTTAAATCTGTCAGAGCTCCATTAATTTTTTTTAAATTTCAGAGGACTAATTCTGAGCTTTTCAAACAGAGAAAATAGAGAAAAATGATATAAGACACCCATGTTGCACCACTTCGACTTAGATATAGCAGCTGTTCTTATTTTACTACATATAGTCTTTTTAAAAAAAGAAATAAGGTACAGAAAAAAATGAATTCAACAAAAATTAATCACAGATGGGCTGGTTTTACAACTTGGGGAACCAGACTGTCCCTTTATTAGCTTTGTCAATTAATCAAAACTGGAGGAGGATGTTTTTATGGAGCTTGGTTATTTTTGTACACCATAAGACAATCTGTAACTTTCTAAACACATTTTAACATTTTTAAAATGTATCATTTAGATTTTTAATAAGATATCTAATACCTTTCAATCAATCCTATTCATTTTGCCTATTTGGTCATGTTTTAACTAACTGCAAAATTTTGATCCTAGATCTCAAAGCTTGTCTGATACCAAATTAGACCTAAAAGAATGCTTTCAACTACCAATTTACACTTGATCTTAGCCAAAAGGCCTAGAAGTATGATATAATCATATTACGGTATGATATAATTTGTAGATTTTAAGAGAAGATAAACTAAAAGTAATGTATTTTTTAGAGGTTCGCATAAACAGCATTTGAGGAGCATTTGCCATCCAACCGTGTTTTCATATTTGACAGCTGAAGTTTCCTTGCAGGCCAAGCTCTTTTACAGTTCCAAGCATTTGTCCATGCTGTTCCCTCAGGAATGCCCCTTCTCTTTATTTTGTGCCTATGAAATCCTGCACACCCTACATGGTTCAGCTCAATGCTGACTCTTTCTACTAAACCCTCTTCTGATCCCTGTCTCATACCCCCAAAAGCAACATAATTTCTCTTTAACCAGAACACTATTTAAACTTCTAGTGTCATTAATTGCGAGATGAAACAGAATGAAATATTTAGTCTACTTATGCACGAGATACTAATGTCTTTGAGAGCAGGGACTATCTTATGATTCTATGTTCTTAAAAAAGTGACTTAGACAAGAATTAGCAATTGCCCTGGCTGGTGTGGCTCAGTTGGTTGGGTGTCGTCCAGAGCATGGAAAGGTTGCCAGTTTGATTCCCGGTCAGGGCACATGCCCAGGTTGCAGGCTCGATCCCCAGTATGGGGTGTGCAGGAGACAGCTATATCTCTTGCTCTTTCTCCCTTCCTCTCTCTCTAAAAATCAATAAAAAATTCCTTAAAAAAAAAGCAATCAAACTCATTAAATATATATATTTTGCCAATTTTGTGTCATTTCTGGGTTTATTAACCCAATTGTCTTATTTTGATGTTTTAAATCAATATTACTCATTTTTTATTATGTATCACAATTATTTTAAAATCTTCTAATGAAAGCCTCTGCACCAGTGTTGCTGTTTTGTTTTAAATTATCATACTCGTTATGAATATTTTTTCAAATGAAATTTCCAACCACTTTCTCAACTTAAAGAAACTATACTGGAATTTTACTTGGTATTATTACACTAAGCCACTGGAGTATCTTATACTTTTTAATACACTTGGTCTTCCACAGTAAGAATGAAAGTCCTCTATTTCTGTCATTTAACTTCAGCTGTGGATTGAAAAGGGGCCACATACTAAACTCGACAAGCTCATGGGAGGCCTGCCTGGCAGCCTTACAAACTCAGAGCCCCAAAGTAACCCCATACGAAGGTCTGAAATTAAAAGTTCCTAACTAAAAGCATTCATGGTGGGTAGTCATGACCTAGGGCCATATTTTTCCCTAACAAAGGTTAATCTTCACCTTAACTGAGCCTGTCTGTAGTCTTTCCGCATCTAAGATAACATACCTGATAACATACCTTTGGAATATCAAAATAATTTCTCTTTTTCCAAACCCTCAAAGCACAGCTGCCTCACCAGAGAAACCACAAATCCCCATTGTTATTATATTGTTGTTAAGTATCCTACATAAGCCTATGTAAAAGCAGCCTGTGTCTATTCCATCTAGTCTTTATCCAACCCCAGAGATTTCACCCCCCACGCCCGTTACACTTAGCTTTCTCCAGCCTCCCTGATCCATCACCAACGAATTTCATGTAACGCCCTTACGTCTTCTCCTTTGATTCTGATGTATAAAATAAGTGGTAAAACCTGCTATTCTCCAGAGCATTATCTCAATCCATTGAGATTTTGCTTCCCAGCAACTGTCAGTTTGGCTCAAATAAACTCATATAAAAATTCTTACTGGTTTGGACGTTTCTTACATTGACACAGCAAGAATCTATCTTATCCTGTTTATTCATCTATTATTTACCCGTACCTTTATGCCCTGCTATATTTCATGAAGAGGTTTACAGATACCATATTAGATTAATATCCAGGTTTTACACTTTGTTTTAATTACATGAACAAGGTTTCTTTATCCACATGTATATGGCTGCTTATCACTGACAGTGATAGTATACTATAGTCATAGTCATGACAGTACTGAAAGTCAAAAGATGTTTGTGGCCCTAGCAGGTTTGGCTCAGTGGTTAAAACATCAGCCTGCGGACTGAAGGGTCCCAGGTTCGATTCCAGCCAAGGGTATGTACCTCGGTTGCAGACTCGATCCCTGGCCCTGGTCAGGGTTTGTGCAGGAGGCAGCCAACTGATGTCTCTCCCTTCCCCCTTCCACTCCCTCTGGAAAGCAATGGAAAAAAATATCCTCAGGTGAGGATAACAAAAAAAAGAAAAGAGCTAAGAAGATAGAGTTAGGGGTTTTTTCTTCTTAAATTTCATATAATCAGGAGTAACTAAATAGAACATACTTCAGAAAAAGTAGTCAAATTAAACTATTCCCACTGCCCACTTAAAAACATGGGTTATAGTCCAGTCAGCGTTGCTCAGTGATTGAGCATCAACCTATGACCCAGAAGATCAAGGTTCAATTACCCATCAGGGCACATGCCCAGGCTGTTGGCTCGACCCCCAGTCAGGGGCCTGCAGGGGGCAGCCAATAATGGCTCTCTCATCATTGATGTTTCTCTCTCTCTCTCCCTCTCTCTGAAATCAGTAAAGGTCATTTTTTAAAAACACACACACACACAAATATGAGTTATAGAATTTAACACACAGGAAAGGCGGATAGGTGGTATATTTATTGACTACACTGATATGACTTACTTGAACAATTCTCATATTTAATAATTTAAAATAACTACTTATTAGCTGTATATCAAAACTATATTAAAACGGCCAACTATGATTGAAATACTACTTCTTAATTCATTCATGTCTTTATTCACTAATGTACATCAAGTACTATGCTAGGTGCAGGAAGATAACAATGTTAAAAGGCCTTTTGGTTTTTCCTCAGGAAAGTTACAAACTAGTGCAGGAACTGACATATACTCTCTGTAAAGGGCCACATAATAATATTATAGGCTTTGGAGGGCAATATAGTCTGTTGCCAACTACTCAGCTCTGTTGTTGTAAGGGAAGAACAGTCATAGACAATAGGTAACAAATAAGCATGGATGTGTTCAAATAAAACTTTATTTACAAAACAAATGGTGGGTCCAATTTGGCCCATGGGCTATAGTTTGCCAACATCTGCTCTCATGGAAAATAACTAACTAGCGATTTCAACACTATATGATAAATGCAGTGACAATAAGCAAAGTTGTTAAGGAGCCTGATCTAAGAGAATCAACAGAGGCTTCTGGGAGAGGCCAACAATCTAACTGATGCCACTACTGCCTCAAATTCAGGAAATAAAAGTAATTTTTATAATGTGCTACTATTATAAAACAATTTAAAATCTCATTCTGAAAATGTAAATCGTATTTGACTATGTAAGAATTGCTTCATAATATAGTAGTCTCTTGTAGTCGTCTATGAAAATTATACCATAAACACTTTTAAAAGCTTACCTTGAGTGACTGTTTTGAGAACAATTAAAGTTGACAAAAATCTCAATGGCAGACTGGAACTCCTAAAGAAAGCAGCTGTCTTCGGTTTATTCTCCAAGGAAGGCTCTAAAGAATTATCCTGAATTCCCTTAGCTCCTACTCCTTTGAATATGTCTTCACCCAATCTCCTCAATGTTGATGTCATAGTTGAATGCTGTTAAAAAAAAAAAAAAGTATTATCTTAGTATACTTATTCCTGTTCAGAAAATATAATTTTAAATATTACAATCAAACATAGGAACTAAAGTCAATTTTTTTGCTAATTAAAAAATAAAATGGAGCTGAAACATGCAAGTCTGAAAAGTAATAATTTTATAATCAACTTTAAAAAATTATTTATGACTATTTTTCTAAAAGAAATGGGCAGTCTACTAGAATTAGAAAACTGAAAAGAGTTATTTTCTAAGAATAAATTTAGAAGAAGAATTGAGACAAAATTCAGTTTGAAAACATTTAAGAACATATAATCATGAGGTATTTCTGGTATAGAGAAATCAAAGGAACAGAGACAGACTCTCTACATGCTCTTAATTGATCTATCATTACTAATTAATGGTTTATTAGGTATATAGTACAGTGTTAGCTTATTTTTTAAAATTTTTTTAAAAATATATCTTTATTGATTTCAGAGAGAGGAAAGAAGAGGGATTGAGAAAGATAGAAACATCAATGATGAGAGAGTCATTGATTGGCTGCCTCCTGCACGCCCCCAACTGGGGATCAAGCCCACAACCCGGGCATGTGCCCTGACCAGGAATCGAACCCCAATCGCCTGGATCCTAGGATCCTAGGCTGACACTCAACCGCTGAGCCACACCCAGCTGGGCACAGTGTTAGCTTATAAAGTGATCATCTAAGACCTCACTGCCTTACACAGCTCAGTCACAATGATTTTGATAACTTTTAACAATTTTAGAAAAATAAAATACTGGGTTAGCATCATGGATAATTCTCATGGCAAATAAACTAAAACAAGAAAATGGGCAAAGAAGAAATAATGGCATATAACTCCCTCTAAAATAATATAGGCTCTTAAGATATTCCATATACATGTTAAGAACTAAACAACCCGGCTGGAGTGGCTCAGTGGTTGAACTGAGCCAGGGAACATGCCAAGGTTGCAGGCTTGATCCCCAAAGAGGGTGTAGAGGAGGGAACCAATCGATGTTTCTATCTCTCTATCCCTCCCCCTTTCTCTCCATCTAGAATCAATAAAAAAACATATTTTAAAAAAAATAAAGGGGAACCATTTCAAACTGCTGCATACGAGAGTGCTATTCCAGACTTATAAATAACTTAAAATTTTCTTTATTATTACCCAGTTCTCCCCATCTTATGGAAATCTGTGACCGACTGGTACCCAAATCAGTATATCTTGCAAAGTGGATAACAAGAATTAGTTTTAGAATTTCTACATATAAAATTAGAGACAGATATATTCAAATTTTATGGGAAATCAAAGGCCAAATGATTGGGTAGTGAGTGGCACAAGCAGTGCAATCTAATTTAAATATATTATCAATAGCTTTTAATATCATTAGGAAAAAATACATGTTTTTTTTTGCATTTTGTTTTTAAATATGTCTTTATTGATATCAAAAAGAGGAAGGGAGAGGGAGGGAGAGAGAGAGAAACATCAGTGATGAGGGAATCCTTTGATCGGCTGCCTCCTGCATGCCCTCAACTGGGGATCGAGCCTGCAACCTGGGCATGTGCCCTGACTGGGAATCAAACTGTCATCTCCTGGATCATAGGTCGAGGCTAAGTGCTGAGCCACGCCGGCTGGGATACATATGTGTGCTTTAAAACCTTTCTATAAAAATGTAATAGAAGAAAATATTTCAAAGTTCTACTCAAATAATTGTTACAATGATATAATTAGGGGAACTTTGCTTATTTAAAAATATCTATAATGTTTTATATTACCCTTTATAGCAGAAAATACACTTTATGTTTTAAAACATGTTTTGACACTATTTCCCTTTAAGTGAAAGAGAAGAGAAAAAATCACAAAAATATCATTTTTGATTGTTACTGAACCTTTGCCTGTTACTGAACACTGAAAGCCTTGCTGAAACCATTTGGGTATGCCTTTTTCATCCACTCATTCATAGTATGATACATGATTTTCCTACTTGGATTATTCATCTTTACCAGGATTTAAATTGAAAAATTGGCATTAGCCTTGATTGGGGTGGCTCAGTTGGTTGAGCAGTGTCCCAAGCACCAAGAGGTCGCTGGTTTTATTCCCAGTCAGGGCACATACTCAGTCTGTGGGCTGGGATCCCCAGAGTAGAGGGCATGCAGGAGGCAGCCGATCGATGTTTCTCTCTCTCTCCTCCCTTCCTCTCCCTCTAAAAAATCAATAGAACATATTTTTAAAAATTAAAAAGTGTAAAATCTAAAAATTGGCATTAAACCCTATTTTGTAGAAAGCAAACCATGTAAAGAATAACTCTGAACCCAAAATTTAACAAGTTTTAAAAAATAAAACACTTCCGGCTATAAAGAAAACAAGTAAGATAACTCCAAACAGTGGAGAGAAGAAAGCTGGCTAGGTATCTGGAGATCCACCATGGCAATAAGTTCTTCAAGCTTCCTGATGCCTCATATTTCCTCAACTTAGAGCTGAAAAAACTGGCAACCTGAATATGCCAGATGCAGATAAGAATCCCTAACAAAGGCTGCTCTTTCTGGCCAAAGCAATAGTAAAAGGGTAGCATTGCAAGGCCAAAAAACCGTTAGACGAAACCATGTTCCAGACAAATACCACAGAAAAATCTGTGGCCCAACCCCCAACCAGACGAGCAAGTCCTAAGAGCCTAGACTTCCACTGTCACCAGGTGGTAAGGAGATGTCAGTAAGGGCCACGTGGGAAGCAGTACTGAGGTACTGCTACCCATCCCCGTTAGGGAGGTATCAGTGGAGGCGTAGTGGGGAGTACCCCACCTTCCCCCAGATAACATCAAGAGCTAGTGGGGAACGTGGACTTCTACTTTGCTGGGAAATGAAGAGGAGGCACTCTCGACCCTTTCCTCTGCCAGAGCAGTGTCAAAGAAAGCCAGGTAAAACAAAATGTTTAATAACATCCAGAGTCTTATATTACCAAAATGTTCAGCTTTCAATTAAAAAAAATCACTAATCACATCAAGAACCAGGAAGATCTGGTTGGGGGGAAAAACTTGCTGACACTAACATGGCAAAGATACTACAATTATCTGACAATCATTTTAAAGCAGCCATGATAAAATGAGAAATTATGTTTTTAAAAAAAATTGGAAAATCTTATCAAAGAAATATAGAGTCTGAGCAAAGGAAATATAAAGAAAAATCAAATGGAGATTTTGTAACTGAAAATACAATAACCAAAATTAAAAACTCAGTGACACCTTCAATAACAGAATGGAGGGAAGAAAGGAAAGAACCAGTTAACTGGAAAATAAAACAACGGAAATTATCCCATCTGAACAACAGAAGAAGAAAACAAATAGGGGGAAAAACATGAACAGAGATCCAAGGAAATCATGTCAATCAGAATCCTGAAAAAAGAAAAAAAATTATATGGGGCTGAAAAAATACTTGAAGAAATAATGAGTGAAAACTTCCCAGATTTGACAAAAAACATATCTAGACCTTGAAGAAGCTGACCAAATCCAAACAGGATAAATCCAAAGAAATTAACAAGACACATCATAGCCAAACTTAAGAAAACTAAAGAAAAAAAATTGAGAGCAGTGATAGAGAAATGAACATATTTGGGGAAAGCAAATCAAATTACTTTTTATTATCATAAACCATGAAAGTTGCCTAAAAGGAATCGGCACAACATTTTTCAAGTACTATAAGAAAAGAACGGTCATCCCAGAATCTGATACACGGGAAAATGTCCTTCAGGGATAAAGGGAAAATCGGGACAGTATAAGGTGAAGAAAAACTAAAACAATCTGTCATCAGGGAACCTATTCTGAAAGACTACCAAAGGGAAGTTCTCTAAACAGAAATGAAATGATAAAAGAACATTAGAACATCAGG